AGTAAGTAAGTAAGTAAGTAAGTAAGTAAGTAATTAAGTAAGTAAGTATACTTCCAGTTTACTTTTTATCTGAGATATATTTAACCGAGTTTATCTTGCACTTCAAATGACTTATACTAAAAATATACTAAAAGTTCAAGTATACTTTGTCTATACTTATCTTTAAACTTTTGGACAATATAAACTTAAGTCACTGAAAGTACATTTTCACACAGACTGGTTTATTTGTAGTAGATTTCAAGATGTCCTGTTTTTGTTTCTTGACAGTTGAATCAAATACATCAATGAAATCTACAAGTGAGCTGCTGCAAAGACGACTGCGGTCATTTGAACAGTTTAACCATTTATTTGACACAACGGCTCTGCTTCAGTGGACTGTTCTCTGCACTGCATGCCAAGGTTAGAGGGAGTTTTAATTTAACTGGAACTGTTTGGTGGGGTCAAATAAAATACCTGAATCTATTTTGTCTCATTAAAAGTAGAGTAGAAGTAAAACTATAAGTTTATTTGGAGTATACTGGAAAATGTATTTTATAGTGAGCTAGAAATGCATTCTTAGTGAACTAACAGCAAATCTAAAATGTTACTTTCTGTATATTTTAAAGTGTACTTTTATAAAATAATGAAATGGCACTAGATGTTTACTGCTAGTAAACTTCTAGTGCCATTACTTTAGTATACCTTGAACTTTAGAATACCTAAAAGATTACTTTCATTATACACACAAGTGCACTTGGATAAACTAAAAGTGTACTTGAAATTTTATTATAATTAAACTAATAGTATACTCAGAAGATAACTTTCAGTATACTTCTGAGTACACATTTTATGCCTAAAGAGGGTCGATTTAGTCCTAAGAAGTATACTTGTTGGTAAACTGCTAGTATACTTACATCTGCATACTTGGTAAACAAAAGTACACTTAGGGAAATACACTTTTATATACTTTAGTATACTTAATAACATGTACTTAAAGTATAGTTTTTGGAAAGGGTGGACCAAACCGGGCCATGAAACAGAACAATGATCCCAAACACAGTAGCTAATCTACAACAGAATGACTAAAAAAGAAAAAAGAGTCAAGATGCTGTAGAAGTCCAGACCTTTAACCTGACTGTAACACTGGGGTGGGATCTTAAAAGAGCCGAGCAGAAACTGCAAACCTCAGTGAACTGAAATAATGTTGGAAAGGCGAGTTGGTCAAAAATTCTTCATAACTTTGAGAAAGACAAACAGAAAACAACGACACAGTTGTTGCGGATAAAGGAGGTTCTGGATCATTGGGTGAACGCAGATTTTTGCACACAGCTTTTTTAAATTTGGTTTGTTTTTTGCTTAACAAATAATCACTCAATAAAATCTCTAATGTATTTAAATTAAAATAATTTTCTAATCTGGTGAAACATGTGTTTTTAAATCCAGCTTTGATACACAAAACTTGTGTTTTTCCTGTGATGAAATATTTAGTTAAAGTCACAGAAACCTTGTTAAACCTTATTTTCTGGTGTTTAAAGTCAAAATGTTTTCCTGAAAAAAAAATTACACACTAACAAAAGCTAACAGTGAATGTTACTCCACCAGGTGATTCTTTCTGAGCACCTCTCTACTAACAGTTTGAAAACATTTCAATAAAACCGTTCCAATTAAAAGGATCAAACATGAAGGGCTTCATTGTCCAGAAAACTCAAGAGAAAACAGCACCAACAGAACTTGGCAGAGTTGCCACATTTTGTTAAACTTGTACTGGACCTCTACCAAGAGAAATGAGCACGTTTTTATCATTTGTTCCTTCAATAGTCTCAATGAGTTTACACAAAACTGTCCAATTATCACTTGTGTGTGCTCAGGACAGAGACACTATCAGATGCACCTGAAGAGGAGTAACAGAGCTGTCAGTGAGGGGTGGACACATGCAACAAGCAGCACTGAGTCACAGGAGTGTGGATCAGGCTTCAGGTGAAAGAAGCAGCACGAGCCGGGCAGACAGCCTGAGTCTGCGTTCTGCCGAGCCTCACCTGACAGGAGATGGTGGCTGGCCTCGGGGCCTTTTGTAGGGGAGGTAGCAGGGGGAGACTCCTCGTCATTCTCCACCTCCTCCCCTACTGTCACACAGACACACACACACAGCGAGCAGAGTGAGGGTTCACATGTGCAGGAGGTTGGGTTTGTGAGGTAAAGGAGAAGTGAGCACACGTTACACAACAGTCACACGTGAAAGTTAAAGGAACAGCGGGGAACAAAAACAAAGTACTTTTACTGCATAAACTGTGAAATCCTTTCAGGCACCACTGGTATAGGTCTGAGGCCCATGACAGATACGTTTGGCTCAGCTGCCATTTAGCTCAACGGTGTGTTTAGTAAAGAGCTCATTCATTTCTTAGTGCCTCTACAACAGAGTTCAACTTGGCTCTCCATGGTTCCAAAACTTTCCCATTAGCAAGGGTTCATGGAACCAGCTCCTTTCCCAGAATGTACTTCACTGTGGTTCCAAGTGTGCTGTGCTGACCTGACAACATGACGTCAGAAGACTGTTGGTCACTGATTGGTCAGCTCTCACAACAACCCAGTCCATCATTTGCAATAAGAACTCTACCATGTCCTCCATTGTTGTCTTGTGTATCTTTTCAGGGTCTTCTTCTTCTACTATGTTTAATGGTGGCTGGCAAATAGCTTAATGGAGCATAACTGCCAGCAGCTGCTAAGACGTGTTGCATCAGTTTTCAGACTCTGGGACAGAGCAGTTTTTGGAAAACCACCTGAGATGTGCTGTGGAGACGCTAGTGGAAAAGGGCCAATMGTTATCATTTTATGCACTTTTTAAATTTTTTAAAATTTATTTATTTATTTATTTTTTACCAGAATCTGATGCTGACAGCCCAAAATGGTCCATGGTTCTGTTTGGATTTCTTCTCTTCGCTTTTTTTTTTTTTTTGCCTAAATGTTTTTGGGATATTGGAATATATTCCTCATTTATTTGTAGTTTTCTTGGTGTCTCTGAATCAGCTTTTGAACTTTACAGTGGTCTCTGTGTTCTCCAAGATTTGGTGAAGACTGCAGTGACTCGAAGCTAAAGTGGGCTGGTGTTGCAGGAAGCCAGGAGAGCGTTTGCACAAGATCAACTGCTTCAGATTTTATAAAGGCACTTTGAGTTGAACAAAAATATTGTTTGCCGTCATGTTTGTTGACATACCTGAATGGCTCAAWCTGGAACACATCAAGTTGTGGTGAAAAAAAAAAAAACGCTGTGGAAAAAATAACTAATATACAAGAGTCTTTATGTTTGCAACTTTTCTCAAAATATTTGGCAGCTGAGCTGAATGTATCTCTGATGGACCTCTGGTTGTCTCATTAGTGGATGTGTGTGAGGATTGTGTTAATGACTGGTGGTGGTCAATTCAAATTGTACCCCAACTTCGTACCTACTGGTTGTCATTTCGTCCCCACCAGTTGATATTTTGTGCCACTTAAGTTCAGAACACACTTAATTTCTTGGTCAACATTGTTATACACACCATTCCTTTTTGCAACACACACACCTCTGTGACCAAAAAAAGTTTTAGTAGAGACACAAATATGTGTTAAATGTTGAAAGGTGATGGATGGTTGGATGGATATCTGTCGGGTCCGTGTACCTTTAGGTAGTTTGTTTTAATGTTTGAAACAGAAAAACTAATTGCCTGAATGTACGCAGACCCTGAAGACCTCAAAAACCTGAAAACTTAGATGACCGCTTTTTAAAACTTGACCACTAGATGTCAGTATTTGTTACACATTGTTCCTTTAACCCATCCAGACAGCACACAATATGCTGCATGTATTCAAATCTGATCCAACATTTATGTAAATTCATTTTCCAACACAACTAAAATATTGTTCCCAAACTATCATAAATCTAAATAAATGATTAATTAGATTTATTTTATTTTTTAATAATGGCTTTGAAAGTGGAGAAATAATGTTTTTGTAGATATTTATAAGTTTTCCTCAAATTTACTCTGTGCTTGAGTGTAAAAAATGTTGTCTGTCTGAATGGGTTCAGAGGGTTAGTGAAAGCCAAACAAACTAATTCACTGCACAATATTGAGAAAAGATCTAGACATGGCACAAGTGAGAAACAGTGAAGGACAACAATGTTTTTCATCCTGTACTGTTAGTGTTTTGATCGTTCTTTTATGATGTGTAATTGTGACCTCTTGTTCTGGTCACACTTAAAAAGAGATTTGAGCTCATCGAGTTGTATCTGCTTAAATAAAGGTGAAGATGATGATGAGTAAAAGGCTATCAGATAAGTTAGGAAACTGAGGCAATAAATTGTTGAATACTTTTTACTTCTTCAACTACCATCTTCTAAGTGGAAATTAATATTTACGTATTAGGTGTCCCTAATACAGAGTATAACATGTGGATGTAAAATGAAATTTTGCTAACATATCTTTTCTACATACTGTAGGAACTGAGGTCAGTATAAATCTTTGATAGGTCTACTGTATTATTTCAGTCAGAAATGTACCATGGATGAGGATGATGATGTTGGATAACTTGTTGAAACATCAATCTAATATACTTAACAAGTTTAACCCCTTTACCCTCAATGTACAGCCTGCAGTACATTTCCAGTTTGTGGTGTTTTCCTGCCTCTTCATAGCCTGACCCACACCACCAGGGACTTTTAATTTGCAAAATAAGCTGTTCAAACAATTTGATTGGTTGTCTTCTTTCCATTGACACCTCTCTTGACCAACTGGGTTATCTATAGACTCTCCAGAGCACATAATGTGTGGAAAGCCTCTCATATCCCACCTATACATGACTGATTGACTAGAACTGACCAATCAGCTCTGAGCTTCATTCTGACACCACAGCTGTGGAGCCAATCAAGTTACCTTTTATTCAATTTGCAGTTTTGGAAGTTTAAAGTTAAAAGGTTAGAGTGTATCATCAATAACTAAATACCAGTTACAGTCACAAGAGCAGTATTTAATTTAATTTGGGTTAGGGTTACCAGGTTAACTCAGTAATTTAATGTTGCTTTATAGTTACGATGCCAAAAAGCCTGGAGTCATTTGAGCAACAAGTTGAAGTGAACAACGTACCATTGGTCCCCTCGTCCTGTTTCCTTTGCACTTCCTTGCGATATTCCTCCAGCTCTTGGTCCGTCAGCTGGTTAAAGGGATTGGGAGGTTCTGGTTCTGGTGGGACTTCGGGTGGGCTCACTGGGCTCTGATGAACAAATAGAAACAGTTTTACCTCTCTGTACCAAAGGGGAAAATAAAAAAGTGTTCAATTTTCTGCCTGCAGACAACATTTACCGGAGGACTGTCCTCTGTTATGACGCTTGCGAGGACTTGTGACTGCGGTCCTGCTGTTTTCATATCCTGACGGTTCTGCTGTCGGATCTGAAAGCAATAACATTTTCTTTGTAAATGTTTTTTTTTTTTTTGAATCTCCTCTGAGCAGAAGGTGGGGCAAAGGTAATCGTGGAGAACAGGCACACCTTATTTCGTGTCTCAATCACCTCTCGAGGATTGGTGTAAAGAGGCACAAACTGGTTTGGGTTTTCGATCTTGATGGCTGTGCTGCCGGGCTGCGTCACCTCTTCAGTCTTCAACCACTTCAAAAACAAAACATAAACACCAAGATGGCATTGATTAAACAAACAACAAGCAGACCTATTAGGAATTAATAATAATTAATAATTAATTCAAGTCAAAGTCCAAGACAACTGACTTCTTTTTGCAAAGGTTTAGCTAAGAAGAGCGATTTAAGATGTGATATGTTTGGCCACCAGAGGGCAGACTCTGCTCTATAGTTGTCCTCACAGAGCTTGTGGTCCTCCTCTGCAATGCAGAGAAGAGGGGAAAAAAGGTAGGAGGGACTGGAGGAGTCAAGCTCCTCCCACTGATGTAAGAAAACCTCTTTCACATTTAGTTTTCACATTATTGCAAGTTTGCAAATTTCATCTGCCCTCTAAGCAATTTGGAAACAAAGAAAAAGCTTCCACTTCGATCCTAGTCTACAGAAATCAGGAGGAAGGCTGCTGACACAGAACAGTTTCAGTTAAAGCAGACCAAATGTACTCAACATCATTCTTAGTTATTTCATTGGCTTCTGCCTTGTAACACATATAAACTAGATTCAGACCTTAAAAAACGTAACCTTTTCAATTTCCATACCACTACTTGTGGTTCCTGGAGTTTCTAAAAGCAGAATGGGAGGCAGAGCTTTCAGTTATCAAGCTCCTCTCTTGTGGAACCAACTTCCAGTTTCTGTCTGTGAGGCTGACACTGTCTGCTTTTAAGATTAGACTGAAGACTTTCCTTTTTGATAAATCMTATAGTTAGACTTAGGTTTCCTGAATTATTCTTCATTTCTGCTGCTGGAGCACAAACTGAGCACATTTCCTCACTCTGCTGTTGTGTTTAGTCTCTCTTCTCTACATGTTTATTGTAATTATTTCTATCAATAACATGTTTTTTTCTTTGTCTCTTGTAGTGTCTCTGGTTCCGTTTCGGTTCGGTTCGGAGGCTGTCAGCTGCTGGACTCTTCTCTCTCCCTCGTCTGCTCACTTCTGCTTCGGGGCTGGTGCTGCTTACGGTGGCTGCTGCTCCGGCTGGCTGTCTGCTGGCTCCTGGGTCGAATGTCAATAAAACTCTAGTCTAACATTTGAATGACGAAAAGACTATTTCTTCAGCTTTGGACATGTTTATTCAGCGAGAGAGACATGAAAGCGCGTCCACACAGCTCGATGTTACTGAAGCTCTCTGAACAAAAGAAGCGCGTGCCCGCCTTCATGCGCGCTCCGGTCTTAAAGGGCCAGTACACAAAATTCACTACACTCTCTTCCAGTAGAAAATACACCTGGACCAGTCCTTCTGTGTATCTTTCCTGTCCCCCCATCCAAACTGGTCAAGGCAGATGGCCGCCTGACCTGAGCCTGGTTCTGGTTCTGCTGGAGGTTTCTTCCTGTTGAAAGGGAGTTTTCCTCTCTACTGTCAACAATGTGCTGCTCAGGATGGGAGACTGTGATGAAGTGATTCAACACAATCTGTTGGCTTCTTTAGATTTATTGTTTTTTTTTTTTTTTTGTGAACAGAGTCCTGAGACAGTTGTTGTAACTTGGCGCTATATAAATAAACTGAATTGAGTTGCTTAGTTTTGGAAACATACCTCTTCCAAGTTTGCTTAATTTGCTCTGCAGTCATTTTTATTTGTTCAGATTTATAAAGACAAGGTAATAACCCTGTAGTATGAGAACATACACATGATTCTTTAGTTAGACCACAAAGAACAGCAACTTGACAAATGTTAAATTGTGGGGTTAGAGCTAATACATGTTGGTCAGGAGGGTAATGAGATCACTCAGACTTATCCTCACAGTGGTGCGTTGGTGTCCCGGGCTGGCTTGCTCCTGGCTGACCTTCTGGTAGGTGTTCGGGGTGTTGAGCCATCGTGTCCTCTCCTGCTGCTGGCGCTGAGCAAACGGGTGCTGCCTCAGAGCTGGGTGGACGCTGTCATCGTCGAACTGGTGGAAGGCTGTTACAGTCGCCGGCACCTCCACCTCCCTCCGTGTCCGAGTTCGCTCCAGCAGCACAGGGAAGCGATAGGCATAACCAGTACGGTAGCCCTGGAAAATAACAGGAAGACATTGTTTAAGGTTTAGATATGGAGCCGTTAGTTATACTGTAAAGTTTCCATTAGGAAATACTGGTTAGGTCTGCATAGCGGGCACCTGAAGAAAGAATAAAAAAATGTTATTCAGGCATATTTTCTGTAGTTTACACCATTAGTCCAGCTGCCAGCTGTGTGATGTGTTAAGCTGCTGCTGCTGCACTCAACATTTCACACTGTAGCATCTCAAAAGCTTTCTATTTGCAAACCACAGGAAATCTTTTATGCTTTCCCGTACATCCATTCAATTTCTAGACCCCCTCAATCCTGTGTAGGGAGAGGAGCTGAGGAGCTGGTCTCTGAGGAAGTAGCAGGATACACCCTGGAGAGGTCGAAAGGCCATCAGACTTTTATGCTTTGTGTTGGCATCAATAAAAACACAGCAGTATCTGTCAAAAATGAGTTATACAATCAGACAGCTCATAGCAAACCTGAACACACAACGCCTCACATTCTTGAAAAACAAGTCATTTCTTTTCTTACCTTATTAGGCATTTTTCTTTAGTATAAACAAACTTGGAGCATCATTATAAAGATCAAAACCTGCTTACTATGAAGCTAAATGTCTGGTCTATGGTTCCAGTTCAGGTTCAGGGTAGAGAGAAAACTTCATGATCATAGTTAGTAGCAGTGTTGGGCAGCACTAATCTAAAAATTWGTTCCAATAGCCCTAAAACACTAACTCAAATAWTTAGRTCCCCTAATTCTAAAGCACTAAAATAACCCAGTCAACCCATGAAACAGACAACATGAGTCACATATTGTCATGGTGTTCTCTTAAGACTTATCATTGACATTCCACAGCTGTATTTGGTTCATATATTGTCAATATGTCACCTGGTGGATCAGTGACACTCATATGAACAAAATGTGACAGTTTTCACCCTCAGCWGTTAACATTAAYGTTGATCAATAACATTTATAGACCTCAGCTAGTGCTTCTAAATTTAGCCTATAAATATAGCAAGCTCTAATCCACTATTAAATTTTAAAATTAGCAAAAGCCCTAAAGCACTAATCAGGAAATTAGTTCCCCTWTTAGTGCTTTAGTGTTTATTGGGAACTGTGCCCACCACTGGCTAGTAGGTTCTCAAATATGATTAGAAGTTGTTCCAATGCCAAAAAATACAATAGATGCATGTTTTTAAAGAGATTTATTTGGTAATAAATAGGGTTGGACATAATCATATCGTGTGCGATTAATCGTCAGAAAAACATTAATCGATTATTTTTTGGCACTTGACGATTAATACGATCAATGCCACCAGGCAGATTGATTGAGATTTCTCCAGATACTCCGCTCAGTGGTCCTCTCCGCTTCAAATATGACAAACATTTAAAAGAAAATTCTGTAATTTATTCATCTATCAACACAATTTAAAATTTGACGCCTGAAATCTGTAATTTTGACACAATTTGGAACCGATTTTTACAAAGAGCAAATCTTTCCCACTAAATTGGTCATGTGACTAGGAGGACATAAGGGYGTCCAGGGACTCCAGGGGATTAATCATCAAATTAATTGTTGTCGGCTAAATACCACAATTAATCGTGATAATTTTTTTTGCCAATATTGCCCAAGCCTAGTAATAAGTAAAGTTAAATTGACACTGAATCAGAATGTGGAGATGAGTGGATCAGTCTGGGATTAATCGCCCTAAAAGACAAACTCATGCTACTAATTTTTTATTATAGCTTTTTTAAATCAGCAAGTTAGGCAAGCATCAAATTTCACAAAATATACGACAAAGCAGCCGCATCCAAGAAGTAGAGGGACTGTGGTTCGGGGGCCTTCTGATTGCATCATTGTGATTTTGTTCAAATGCATCGAAGCAGAGCGTGAAGCAGTCTGAATGAAGACCAGCTCCTCCAGGTCTGAGGCCAGAGCCATCAGCTGTTACTGTCAACTTCCTGCTTCAGGTTTGGAATGRGCTACTGCCCAAAGTGCAGGAGGTCAAGTAGCTCCAGGTCATGTTCACAAGTGAGGGCAGAACAGAAGTGATGTGGATTAGAACTTGATGGAATAACAACTGCTGGGATGWAGACTGGTGATGAAAAATCAGAGTCAAACAGCAAAACTCTCAATTTTAACCCCACCCCCCACACGAAGTCACGAGATAAGAAGAATGACTGAAAGAATGAGATGTTAAATACTAATGGCTGAATTCCTCTGCAGGCTGCCTGGACTCAGACAGAGACAGAGCRAGGAGCTTAGCTAACCAGAAGGAGCTCAGGAGGAGGAGGATCAGTGCTCCTCATCATCAGAGACAGCTGAAGTGGTTTGAGCATCTTACAAATGAGATGTTTCACACAAGGAGGAGACATTGTGGCAGACCCAGAAAATAGTTTATGATCTGTAATTTTCCTTTGGGAGCAATAAAGTAATTTTGAATTGAATTTGAATTGAATGAAACATATTGCTCTGTGGCCTCACTAGAAATACACTGCTGTTATATTTATTGCTACTGGTAGTTAGCCTGGTTACTGTAACACAGTCAACAAGTTAGATGTGATGTTGATCCCAGATTTTAATTCAAAGCTAACGGAACATAGCATTACTTCTTTTACTCTCTCATAAYGGCTGTTTTGGGAATAAAATAGTTTGACACCATAACTGATCCACAACAGGATACATGTAGCAGTTGTAGATCTGCTCAACAATATGTCAAGAAAACAACATAAGCAGCTGTTTAAAACAAAATAGTGTAAAGCTTTCACTGAAACTGCTTGGATGTTTTTTAAATTCCAATTGTTTTATGTGTCAGACATTTATTTTTAATTGAATGAGCCCTGCTGCTGCTGCTGTTCTTTACTATCTGTCTAGACTCACAGCTCCAGCATGAGCCACAGACGAAAAAAAATGTTTGTGTAAAAAAAAAGTCCACTTAAACTTTTTTTTAACATTTTTTAAAGTACCCTCAACTATCCCTGCACTACAAGTGTTACCGTTCTTAGTTCAGTTCTGCTGCCTACCAGATTATCCAGTGTTCTCATCAGGGCTTCGAACTCGTGCTCCCCAGTGCGGCTCTTATGCAGAGGCCCGAAGGTGGAGCCGGCCCAGCCGACAGTGCCGGCTGCAGTGGGTTTATGGATGGTCCGGTCCAACAGAATCAGGTTGTGTTCCCCGCCGGCACTACACAATGCAGACACCTAGCCAAACACACATACACACACACACACACACACACACACACACACAC